TCCATCATTCCCTCACATCCAGCGGGCTGATTCAGGGCCCTGGGCCTTATGTTTGACACCTCTGCTATATGTGGTTCTAGTTGGGTGCAGAGGTCTGTAAGGTCATAGGTGAGAGTGTTTGCAGTTATTTTAGTCATTTTGACAGTTCGGCAGCTGCAGGCTTCCTGGCAGAGTTTCAAACATGTTTTATTGAATCCACTGGAACCATAGAAACAGGCAGCAGACTGAGCTTTGGCATTCGGACCCTTGTTGGAGTGATGATGACCGTTGACGGCACAGAGGAGCAACGCAGTGATGGAGCGCGCCGTCGATGTGAAACCTGCGGTTCAGTTTCTTTGGTTTTTGGATGAATGGGCGTGACAGAGTTTTGATGTTCTGGACTTACTGATTCTCTAAACACGGAAACTAACCTGTTAACTTCCTGTCGGAGGTTAGTTTGCGACATCAGCTGTGTGATGTCACAGAGAGTTCAGCTTCACTGAAACACGGCTGAAGGTAAAACTGGATAAATGTTCGATTAGCGAACTGTTCCCACAGGTGCTCGGGGTGAGACTGCAGTGATATGTATTTATACACATGTACATATATGTATTTATACACATGTACATATATGTATTTATACACATGTATGTATATGTGTTTATACACATGTGCTATATAAATATAATCACTGTAACCTGGCAGCACTGCTGGGACGAGCCGCTGACCTGTTTGTGTTTTGTGTGTCTGCAGAGCTGCTGACGTTCCTGACCCGACCGCCACAGTCCCCGCGACACCCGCCGTTAACCGCCATCCACCCCGGCCAGCAGCCCCCGACCCCCGACGTAGTGCCGCCGCCGAGCCCCCACCACTCCCCCTACTCTCCTCAGAGGAGCAGCCCCGGAGGTGAAGGAGGACACGGCCCAGATGGAGGCGGAGCTCTCCTCCAGCTGCTGGCGGGAGGCGCCAGCCCCCTGCCCTCCCCCCGCTGCTCCAGCCCATGTCAGAGGTTTAACTCGGACCCGGACTCCGCCCCGTCGCCGCCGTGCAGCCAGCAGTACATCCTGTGAGTGCTGCTCTGAGGGGGGGGGGCGCTCGCTGCCCGTGTGGACCTGATGATTGCTCTGATGTTCATCTGGACTTCCTGCTTTGTTTTCCTTTAAATGACGTCTGTGTTCGTTTATGTCTGCTCCCACGCGTGCTGCACAGCCTGGACCTGGACTCCGGTGGTCCTGGATCTGGACCCTGGTGGTCCTGGATCTGGACCCTGGTGGTCCTGGATCTGGACCCTGGTGGTCCCGGCTCCAGGACCAACTGGACTCTTTGCTGTGGTTTCCAGTTTCAGGCTGCTTGAAGCTCTTTTGTGCTCGATGTCCTGTGATTGGTGGGGAGGCTGCAGTGGAGTGGTTTGTGTTTGACCTGCATTAGTGCGGCTTACATAATCCGTCCTTCATCATCATCGTCTTCGGTTTGTGAGCCGCTGCCTGAAGCTGTGACCCAGTTTTTTCGCTCTTCTTCCGTCTTTGTTGTTTCACCGACAGCTACTTCCTGTCTGTGTCTGTGACACGTTGGCGTTGGATAACGTGACGGTTCCCGCGTTCAGGCTCAAAGCCGTGTGTGTCCTGCTAATCTTAAACATGTTAAATCTCTGATAAATATATGTGGATATATCCCTGTGGGCTGGTGGCGTGCTCGCACCCGATGATGCCGCCTGCTGAATCTGAGCGCTCTGTTTGTGTTCAGGTGTCGGGGCGACAGGACGCAGGACTCGGAGGGCGAGCGTCCCTCGTCCGTGCCCTTCCTCACGAGACACATCCAGACCCTGAAGAAGAAGGTCCGCAGGTTCGAGGACCAGTTTGAGCAGGACATGAACTACAAGGTAGATCCAGGAGGGGGCGCTGTCAGACTCGCGGCACAGCGCTCGATGCTCTTTGCTGCATCGTTTGATTTCTGTCGTTGAGCTTCAAACTGTCCGATGTCGTCTTCTGTTTCAGCCGTCCCACAACGACAAGTACTCGAACCCGGAGATGATCCGAGTGATGGGCGAACTGGCCAAGGCTCGCAAGCAGCTCAAAGGTGACG